AAAAAAAAAAAAAAAGAAATTAAACAACTTACTCTGAATAACCAATGAATCAATGAAGACATTAAAAATAAATTTTAAAAATTTCTCAAAAGAAATGACAATAGAAACACACCAAACATACCAAAACCTGTAGGATAGTGCAAAAGCAGTACCGAGTGACATTTATAGCAATCAATGCTACAACAAAAATGCAGAAGGATCTCAAATTCAAAATCTAACAGTGTATCATAAAAAAACTAGAAAAACCAAGAACAGACCAAACCCAAAATGAGTACAAAAAATAGAGCAGAAATAAAATGAAATAGACTTTTTAAAAAATGAAATATCAATGCAACAAAGAGTTGGTTTTTCAAAAAGATAGGCAACATTGACAAATCCTTAGCAAGACTAATGACTAATAGAAAAGGAGAAAATATTCAAAATTAGAGGCAAAAAAGGAAACACTACAACTGACACCACCGAAATACAAAGGATTACTTGAGGCTGTTATGAATAACTACAAATCAGCAGACTTGATAACTTAGAAGAAATGGTCGAATTTGTGGACATATATATCTTACTAAAACTGAATCATGATGAAATAGAAAACTTGAATGAGCTGGGCATGATGGTGTACACCTGTAATCCCAGCACATGGGAGGCTGAGGCAGGAGGATGGCAGGGGGCCACCGCCTCCTCCCCCCTCCCCTGTCCCTGCCCTGCCTCAGGATGATGGAGGAGGAGGAGGAAGAGGAGAACACGAAGAAAGAGGAGGAGAAGGAGGAGGAAGAGGAGAACACGAAGAAAGAGGAGGAAAGAGGAGGAGGAGGAAGAGGAGAACAAGAAGAAAGAGGAGGAGGAAAAAGGAGGAGGAAGGAGGAGGAGGGAGGAGGAGAAAGAGCAGGAGATGACTCCAACAGACTTAAAAAGTAATGAGACTGAATCAATAATTTAAAAATCTCCCATCAAAGAGAAGCCCAAGAACTTACTGCTAAGTTCTACCAAACATTTAAAGAAGAATTAGTACCAATTCTTCTCAAACTATTTTAAAAACTGAAGAGGGAATGTTTTCAAACTCACTCTATACAAGACCAGTGTTACCCTGACACTAAAACCAAAGATATCACTATTCCAAAAAAGAGAGAGCAAGCTACTGTCACAGTATCTGATGAAATAGATGCAAAACTCCTCTACAAGCCAAATCCAACAGTACATTAAAAGCACTATTCACCATGACTAAATGGAATTCTGCTTGAAGACAGAAGGATGGTTTGACATATATAAATAAAATGATACTCCTCACCAACAAAATGAAGGCCAAAACCCTCATGATCATCTCAAAAATGCAGAAAAAGGATTTTATTAAATTCAACTTCCCTTCATGATAAAAGCTGAACAAATTAGGTATCAAAGGAATATATACCTCAATATAGTAAATAAAGATCATGTATGAAAAGCTAACAGTTAACATCATACTATGAGGAAAAACTGAAAGCTTTTTTTCTAAGATCTGGAACAACACAAGGATATGCAATTTTCCAAAGAGTCTACCAACAAACTATTAGAAACAATAAATTCAGCAAAATTGCAGGATACAAAATCAACATATAAAAATCAGTAGCATTTCTATGAAAAAGTAATTAAGAATGCAACTCCTTTATAATAGCTACAAACAAAACAAAACTTAGGGATAAATTTAACCAAAGAAGGAAAGATTGCTATACTGTACAATGAAAACCATAAAACATAGCTGAAAAAACTGAAGAGAACATAATACTGAAGGAAAAGACATCACTTGCTCAAAGACTGAAGAATCAATATTGTTAAAAGGGCAACAGTACTAAACCACTCTCAATACTCAATGGAATCCCTATCAAACTACCAGATATTCTTTGAAGAACTAGAAAAAAAAATCCTACAATTTGTATGGAACCACAGAAACACCTGAATAGACAGAGGAATCCTGAGGAAAAAAGACCAAAGCAGGAGGCATTATACTACCTGACTTCAAAACATTCTATAAAGCTACAGTAATCAAAACAGCGTAATATTGATATGAAACAGGTACTCAGACCAATCATTGGAACAGGACATGGAAGAGACCCATACAGCTACAGGGGATGATCTTTGACAAAGGGGCTAGGAGCACACATTGAAGGACAGTCTTTTCAATAAATGGTCCTGGGAAAACTGGATATATACATGCAAAAGAATGAAACTAGATCCTTATTTCTAGTTTC